AAAAAAGAAAAAAAAAAAAAATAGTCCCATCAAGTCTAACAGCAAAGATGACTGTAGGGCAAGTCGATTCTATATAGAACCCAAGTGCGTAGAGATTGGTGGCCTTAAAAATTGCTTCATACTTATCAAGTTAATGCTTTGAACCCAGATCACTATTCTTTTGGTTAACAGAACACAGAGGGAATTTCAAGATGCACTGCTAACTTGAAAGCTTTCACAAGCTAAACTCTTTCATTTTTCCCATATGCAATCATATCCTTTTTTAGAATCCAAAGCACATACTGTCCATGTAATTGAGCCCTGAACTCAGGAATATGCTTTATGCTACCAAAGTGATTTTTTGGATTCTGGAAAATGCTTTAAAAAAGGTAACAAGTAGGTAAGCCTTTTGTGTTTTAAGCTAAACCATGAAAAAGAAAAAGTTACAATCTCATTTTGAGAAAAATGTCAGCCCAGAAATAATTTTTTAAAATGGAAAGAACTATTTTTCTTTTAAAAAAAAATAAACAGGAGGTTCCTGGCTGGCTCAGTAGGTAGAGTGTGAGACTCTTGGTCTTAGGGTCATGAGTTGAGCCCCATGTTGGGCGTGGAGCCTGCTTAAAAATATGTGTGTGTGTGTAAAATAAAAAGTATCACCAAGATATAACTGGATTAAAATAACTGTCCTACTTTTATGGTAGGACAAAATCTTAATATCTCCACAAGGCTGACATCTATAATACCATTTCTAATTTATATAAGCACACAAAATAGCATTTTGATATATTAAAATGAGATACACTTTATATAACATCAAGAGTGTTTTTGTTACCGCAAAATAACTCAGCGTGGTCTCCTGACCTGCGCAACACAAAACGTAACCTTGTCACTATGCTTCCATTTATATGAAGTTCAGAAAAAGGCATCCCTAACCTATGGTGGCAGAGGGTCAAAAAGTGGTTCCCTTGTGGTTATCGACTGGAGGGGAGACATGAGAGCCTGCTGGGTGCTGGCAATATTCTATATTTTGAGATAGGAGGTGTTTACACAAATATAAATTTATGCACATACATAGGTATGGAAAATATACATGTGAACAACATAGGTTTGAACTGCACAAATCCACTTATGTGGAGATTTTTTTTTTTTTTGAGACAGTATTGTATTTTCTCTAGCTTTATTATAAGGATACAGTACATAATATATATAATACCTAAAATATGTGTTAATTGTTTATATTATTGGTAAGGCCTCCAGTAAACAGTAGGCCTAACTATTAGTAATTAAGTTTTGGAGGAGTCAGAAGTTTTAGGTGGATGTCTGACCGTACAGGGGGCCGGGGCTCCTAACCCCTGTGTCGTTCAGGGATCAACCATATATTTATGTAAACACACACATCCATAAAAATATTCAAGTTACAGACTTAAAATCTGTGCACTTAACTGTATAAAGTTATACCTCAATAAAAAAGAAATTACCTTGTCACCAGCATTCTGAAGTTGTTTATATAAAGACGTCACTTCTTGTTTCAAAGCCTCCTTTTCCTGCTGAGTCACTCGTAGGTCAGATTTAATCAGGGACATTTGCAGGTTCACATTCTGTAGGGTGTCTTCTAAACTCTGAACCTGCATCATGAGAAAAATCTTACACTGTGATGCAGATCCTCACGGTCTCACCTACAGCCTGTCCAGGAATGAATGAGCTAAGATAAGAGAATTCCAAGGTCCCTTATATTTACTATATCCAGCTTTTTTTTTTTTTAATTTTTTTTTTTCAACGTTTATTTATTTTTGGGACAGAGAGAGACAGAGCATGAACGGGGGAGGGGCAGAGAGAGAGGGAGACACAGAATCGGAAACAGGCTCCAGGCTCTGAGCCATCAGCCCAGAGCCCGACGCGGGGCTCGAACTCACGGACCGTGAGATCGTGACCTGGTTGAAGTCGGACGCTTAACCGACTGCGCCACCCAGGCGCCCCTATATCCAGCTCTTTTTAGTAGCCTCATGGAGACCCCAGTTATTATGTATATTTACAGGATGTTATATTTAGAGCAATGATGAGCTATGTCCTGGAGCAAGGTGTCGCTAACACAGTCATCTGGTATATGACCAAGTGATATCTTACAGAACCAGTGAGTACCAGCTGGCATGACAGAAGCTAGCTCAATCCCATGAACCATGAGGCCACAACTTGAGCTAAAATCAAGAGTTGGATGCTTAACTGAATGAGCCACCCAGGTGCCCCAGTATCTATTTAGTTAAAAATAATCTAAATTTGTAAAAGCAATGTTGATAGGTATCATAACAGGGCATGAACGTGCCTTAGAAATCCTTTTTCTAAATCAGAAACAAGCAGTCATTTCTACACAGTATTCTTAAGCTTTTATAAGTAATCTCATAATGATGAGGTAATCTCATAATAATGAACTCTGAGGGAACTGTTCAAGTTTCCTCACACTATAAGCATATGACAAGTATTAATCAAATTGAATCATTATGAACCCTCTTAGGCCAATTCTATCTGGAATATTCTTCCTACTAGGAATTCTGTTGGAATACACAGGAAAATATTAACTGTACAGGTGAAACAACAGTTGGCCACATACCTTTTCCTGTGAAGCCTCTAGTTGCGACTTTAAGGTTTCCCTCTGGTGTTCCCAAGATTTCTGTTCTTGCTTCATAGTGGCAATTCTGTGCTCTAAAAGACTTGATTTTGCCAACTGTTTCAGGAAAAGAAAAGAGATAGTAGGCATGTTTGCAAATATCTAGCCTCAATTTATGCATCTCCACAGAGGCTGAAAAGATAAGCGCCATGTGGGAGCAGGGCAAAGTAAAACACAGACATTTTCCTGACTCCCTTTTCTACCTTTAATTTTGAAGAGTCTGTTTTCTTTGGTGGTTTCCATTTTTCTCTCTCATTGCCTCATTGCGGGTGAGAAGCGGTAGGCCGGGAGGTAATTAGAACTCTCAAGAGTGTACCATAATAGGAAAACATGGAATGCCTACTAAGGCAGGTGGGGCGAAAGCAGTGTTGTGGGATTTGCTAGGGAAAATATGATAGAAGAAAAAGCGTGTGTCTATGTAATAGATCTCAGAGTATTAAATGCGACAATACTTATTTATATATTAAGTAGCATGGCTATATATTAAAATGAGGCAAACTGTATATTACTATACTTAATAATATCATTATTAAACAAATTTAGCCTCCTGTTAAAATCCTGACCTCAGAAATTCAGAGGGCACGTAAGGCCTGCTGAAATGCTATTCCAGGAGACGGTGGAACGATCAGGCTAAAACGGGACTGCTGAGTGCCACTGGACATAGAGAAATGCTCACTATGGTATACACTGTATGGTGATGGTAAAAAGTCTTCTGTTTCCTACCTTATCCACACAGCTCTTTAGTTCTTCACTGAGAGCCTCCTTTTCTTCCAGCAGTTTTTCATTGTAGCTGAGAACACTAGCAAGTTTTTGCTGGAAGTCACCAAGATCAGGACATCTGTGCAGCTGTAAGAGATCAACAATCCCATCGTGTCTCATGGCTGTATTTATAAAGAGGTATTTATATAAACAGGGCGTTTTCATGGCTGCTGCTATTTCCCTATCTACATAGATATTTCAGAGGACATATAAACTCTAAGGAACTATAATTAAATTTAACAAAATGTTCCCTACTCGATTCTCTCCATTCTCCAACTGACTGCCAAAATGTCTGCTCAGATAGATCCAAGCAGACAGATACTGTTACGTATCGGTCCTAGCTTCCGTTGCACCTTCAGGGGAAAATAAGTGACATACTGCCATTCTGTCATCAATTTAACATGTGTACATACATAGCACCATACATTTTCCTCATGCTTTTTTAACTAGAAAAAAATCTTTTTCAGCAATCTCAGTCAAGAGTATAGAATTGGCATGAACCAAGGACTGTGTATCAACACAAAGACAAGTTTAAAGCTAAAACAATCAGTGTTTTTCACTTTGTTTCATGGGTCCTTCCCTTTGGAAGAGGCCAAAATTGCCTGGCTCAGTAAAATGTTAATGCGGACACATTGGCTTCCTCCTCTCCACTGGAATCAAGGCAAACCAAAGGCTGTTTCCATTCCATTTCAGTATCAGCCTTACTAGGACTGACATTTTGGGGGGCCTTTCTGTGTACTGGAGGATGGTTAGCAGCATCTCTGGCTTTTAGATGCCCATAGCACCCCTCTCTCCACATACCAGTTGTGAAAAACAAAAATGGCCCTAGATATTGCTAAATGTCCTAGGGTATGGGAGTGATTCCTACCTCCCCCCAATGACTGCTTCAAAGAGACTGATTGTTTCTTACACGTCTTTACCCTTTCCCATAGTCCATGTATTTTTAATTTCCCTCTGTTTCATTTGACTTCCATATTTTCAGTTCTTCATTAAGATTTTGTGGCCATCTCTCTACTTTATACCTTAAGTTCTTTCACACATTTAGCTTTAGAATAATATGACAAAATAGACTTTAAGGGTTGAATCTTGTCTTCAACTGAGAACAAATACAGCACACCTTACAAATCTAAAGTCAGAAGGACATAGGACAATGTATTTTAAAGTACCGAGACACTGGTTTACTAAAGGATCTTTCTCCTTTGCTCTCTACCTTGCTTCCTCATCCCCAGAACCTCACAAAGCCTGGTACCATTTCGGGTGTGCAGGCTGGCATGTGGCTTCTGCTGATGCTACTTGTGTTTCTTTGCTGTGCAACAGATAATTTCTCACTCACAAAGTGATTTTACTTGTATTATGTCCTACAGAGCAGCACATACTTCCTAGGTCCATGCTGTATGGCAGCAACAATGGGCTGATACTATTCTACTGTCGTGATCCAAAAGAGCCCAGATGCCGTGAAACAACTTTCTACCCAAGGCAGACAAAGCTCACCATTTTTCCACTTCACTGTTTATCCCACCGCCTCTGTAAAACCTACACAATAAAAACATGCCAAATGATGTCTTCACCATGCTATCTTACTCCCAGATCCACTCCTTTTCTTCTGATCTCTAGCTTAGCAAAGTCACAAAACATGCATTTCCCATGCTATGGATTTGGAGCCCATCATTATCATCTTAAAGACCGAACAACAGATTTTCAAAAGGTAAAGGAGAAAAGTATGCCCACGGTAATTAGGATGAACTTGGTAATAACAGCATTGGAAAACTTAGGCACCATAGAAAGGCCCTGTGAGCTTCAACTTTTGGAATGTTTATAAAGGCAGACAGCTTCTGTTATGGCAGAACAGATCTGCTCTGCAGAACAGCATCTGACTTACAGAACTCCTCTCAGGTACCAGTACTAGGCATTAGGAGAGGCACAAATTCCCCGGAAGGCTTACAATCCTATTAGGAAGTCAAGACTTGCAGGAGTCAACTAGAGATCAACACAAACATAAACTCAGTGCTAGAGACTCAGTATTTCAGCATTCAGAGGACACCTTTGTGCTCACAGGCTGAACAGATACAAAAGAGAGAATCTGATAATCTAAGGATGTCCTAATACCGAAGTAAACCTTAAGTGAAGCAATTTTAAAAAACAGAACTAAATTCTCCTATTTATAAATTAGGATTGCTCAAATCCTGTACTCACTGAAAAGTGCAGAATTAAGAATAAAATAGGACAATGCTCAGGATATATCTTTAAGGTGAACCCTCTTTTATACTTAAAATTAAGTCTTTGTTTGAAACTTTGACATAGGCTTCTTAAAACCAAATTCATAAGTGAGACTGCATCCCTGCTAATGTTCTAGAATTTGCTCCTTAGCCCAAGATAGATGCCACATACTTGCCATAAGAAAAAAGAGAAAGAGGTACCTTTCTGTGTGTGTCACACCAGTCTGGATGAGTAGTTATTAAAGTTATTAAAGTTATTAAAGCAAGAAAGTCACTTTCATTTTAGACAAACTTATTATTACTTTGTCACCCGGCTAGAGGAAAGCAGAGCGACAAATTTCTTAAACTGAAGCGGCTGTGACTGATTTATAGAATTTTAGTCTACAACATGTCAGTTACACACCTCAAACAGCATGTAGAGGATTAGGGATAGGAGCCCTTATACGTGGACTTGTACTGCAAACCCTCAGCTTTTACGAAGCATTGAGCTAGTTGACAGGACAGTGTATTAAGGATGTCCGGTGGCTGGCAGCGCCAGACCATCAGGTTCACGATGTACTGTGAGCCTCTCCACTGCACCCACTCCCAGCAGCATGCAGTCTTACTTGTTTCATTTTCTCCAGTTCATCTTTGAGAAGGAGGTTCTCCTGTTCCACAATATGAGTCTGTATTTTCACTTCAGACAGTTCTGCCTCCAGAGAAGACACTAAAGTGGAGGACTAAGAAGAAAAATTAAAAAATCAAAGAGCGGACATACTCATTTAGCCTAGGGAAACTTACTGGATTCACACAAGGCAGCATTAAAAAAACTCGAGCCCCCGATTCAACGACACACTCTTTTATGACCATTATACTCAGTGGAATGAACCAAAACTATTTTTTTTTAAGTTTATTTTTACTTACTTTGAGAGAGAGAGAGAGAGAGAGAGAGCACGCGCGCGCGCATGAGTGGGGTAGGGGCAGAGAGAGAGGGAGAGAGAGAGAATCCCAGGCTGGCTCTGCAATGTTAGTGCAGAGCCCGACCCCGGGCTCAAATCCATGAACCTTGAGATCACGACCTGAGCTCAAACCAAGAGTTGGGCGCTACCCAGGTGCCCCCTGAAATTATCTCTTGAGGGGCGCCTGGGTGGCGCAGTCGGTTGGCGTCCGACTTCAGCCAGGTCACGATCTCGCGGTCCGTGAGTTCGAGCCCCGCGTCGGGCTCTGGGCTGATGGCTCAGAGCCTGGAGCCTGTTTCCGATTCTGTGTCTCCCTCTCTCTCTGCCCCTCCCCCGTTCATGCTCTGTCTCTCTCTGTCCCAAAAATAAATAAACGTTGAAAAAAAAAATTAAAAAAAAAAATTATCTCTTGAAAGACTGTCCACCTCAACGTCATGAACATGATTTCTCAGGTAGTTTTTTCAAGTCTCTCCACCGCAAAGTTATTTCTCTTGGGGGAGACAGGTTGAGACGATGATAACTGTGTTTCTCCTTAAACTTGTTTATTAATTTTAGTTTCTATCGGATTTTGTCTACAACAGTTACTACTCTCATGTTTGCCTAATGATAACTTTCTGTTTTCTTCTTTCTTTCTACATTTATTTATCAGAATTCTGCTTTAAGGGAGAGGTGTTAATTCTCCCCCATTTAGTCAATTTTTAATATCGGTTTGTATCCATACCTATTTATTTTATTCTGTATTTATTTTATCCTTTACTATGATTATTTTGTTGGTCAAACTATTCCAGCTTTGGCCATGAGGAGCTCTTCAAGTGGGGTTCTGTGTCCTCTCGATACACACCCCATCTATTTTATTTTACTTTATTTATTTTTAGCACTTTTTTCTTTCATCTTGTATTTTCCCTGCCCTAGCCCTAGAATCAATCGTTTTTCCAAGGAGCCCTGGCTTCTTTTAAAAGAAAATGGTATTTAGAAACAAGATCTGGGCACTCCATCCATATACACACATCTATATCTCTGTATCAATCTATATATATATATATATATATATATTAAGAAACCTGAGTTTATACTAATGCCTCAAATTCCAGTCCAACACCAGAGGGTTCAGTTTAGCCTTCCCCCATTTCCTCCTTGCAGCTTCCTTCTCCAACAGTGAGAACCTCAGGTCTGTTGCCTATAATCTATTTACTTATTTGCTCAATTCCAATATACACAAAGTGGTTTCAGAATTACTGACTTATCCCCCATGAGAAACATTCACTGGCTGGAGTATTTTAGTGTTTGTGTACACTTCTTTTTTTCTTTAGCCCTACAGTATAGAGTCAAAATCATTTCCAGTTTACTTAATTCTTTTCTTCCCCATCGTAATTATGTTATCCATTTACAATATAGTTAGGTTCATTTCTTAGTGTTTGTGTTCCAGGTTGGTATTCCTCACCATCTTGATTGGTTTCGATTGGGTGTTTATCTGGGGGTATGTGAAGAGCTATGGGAAAAGATCTACTCAGGGAAGTGGTACTCCCTTCCCTCATCCCTTCTACAACCTTCCCATTCTTCTCTCCCATCCCTTTCCCACCCACCTTCTATGGTAATCATCTCTTTAGTTTCTGGTTTATCATTTTTGTATATTTCTCACACAAATGAGTGAGGATATGAGCATGTGTATTTTAGAACATCCCTTTATTTCTTCCTTTATTTATACCATTTTCTTTTAAAAGAAGCCAGGGCTCCTTGGAAGTCATCCTATACTCTTTTGTGCTTCTCTTTTTCACGTAACAGTGTGTCCTGGAAATAATTTCACATTGGTAGACAACTTTCCCTTCCTCTCTTCCTTCCTTCCCTTTCTTTTTTTCCTCTCTCTTTCTCTTTTTTTATGGTTACACAGTACTACCCCAAGGTGTGACTGTACCCACCACGTTTATCCAGGCACTCTCCTATATATGAACGTCTAGATGGTCTCTAATATTTTGCAATTACAAACAATGCTACATTGAGTATATGTGCATATGAGTATTCATGTTGCTGGAGGTGTACCTTTAGGGTAAATCCCTAGAAATGGGCTTGGTGGGACAAATGGTAAGCTCATATGTGATTGTGTTAAGTATTAGCATATTTCCTTCCAGAAGGCTAGTATCAGTTTACACTCCCAGCAACATATAAAAGTGCCTGCTTTCCCCAAAGTCTTGCCAACAAAAAGTCATGGGTGAGAAAAGATGCTGTCAGTATTGTTTTTACTTCCATTTTTCTGATTATGATTTTGAGTTTTTTCATGGGCTCGAGGGCCATTTTTATCTCTTTTTTTTTGTGATTTATTCATTAGCCCTACTTTCTGTGGTATAGGATATAAATATTTTTCCCCAGTTTGTGAAATGTCTTGACTTTGTCTGTAGCATTTTTTTTTCTTTTTTGCCACAAATTTTTTTGATTTAATCATTTCTTTTTTGGTTTAATCATTTCTTTTTTGGTCTCTGGTTTATGGGTCATAGATAGCTTTTCTCTACACTAACGTTAAAGACAAATTGGCCCATGTTTTCTTCTGGTACAGACGTAGATTTGTTTGTTATATTTAGGCTCCTAATCCAATTAGAGTTTTTATCTTTATGCACTATATAAGATATAGATATCTAATTTTTTTTTTTTTAAGAGAGCACATGGGAGAGGGGCAGAGAGAGAGAGAGAGAGAGAGAGAGAGAGAATCTTAAGCAGGCTCCACACCCAGCACAGAGCCCAAGGCAGGGCTCAATCTCATGATCCTGAGATCATGATCTGAGCCAAAATCAAGAGTCAGATACTCAACCGACTGAGTCACCCAGGCACCCATAGGGATCTAATTTTATCTGTTCCCAACCGTCTACTGAGTTGTCCAGGCACCACTTATTTATGAAATCCATCTTTACCCCAGTGATTTGTTATATAGCAAGTTTCCACTTGTATTTGAGTCTAATTCTAGACTTTCTGTTCCACTTCTCTATTCATTTGCTGATACTATACTGTTTTAAGACTTTACATGTAAGAAATTGAATATAAGCATTGCTTTATGCTTTGAGATTTTCTCCCAGAAGGCTGGAGGGTGGCCACACTCCATACCTGCACTTTACACTGTTCCAGTTCTTCCTTCAGATTAGACTTTTCTTGTTTCCATTCCTCCAATGTACTGCGCCCTGGCTCTTTATCCTTCTGGCGTAGCATTTCTGCCAGACGTTGATTAAGTTCTTGCAGTTCTTTCTCATTTTGAGAGTTCTTTTGGCTAAGTTCAGTATTTTCCAAATCCAATTGTTGGTTTTGGGTTTTTAATTCTGAAATCTAAATAAAATGGAAGTAAGTTTTAAAGACTAGTTGCCCTAATTCTACTAAAAAACAGATTTAGAGACTATCTACCCAGGGGAAAAAAACCAAAGTTTTATACATACGTACGTACATGAACACATCCTTAATAATAGAATTTAATACGTTATTCATTATTACAAATTCCACCACTTGGGAAGTGTATGAAGAAGTGATAGACCCTCCATTTGGTCTAACTCCACAGGGGTTGCCATTGTTCACAGCTGGGTACCTATCCCTCCAGATTGTTTTCTATGTACATACAAAACTCGTATGTATGTGGAGGTTTTCTCCTTTTTATAACAAAAGGAAATTTGAATCATTTCAGATATTTGGGCAGCCTGCTTTTTCCACTTGTAATAGTTCGCAGACTTTTATCTTTCCAAGTCAGTGCATTCAGAAACCACCAAAAGCTATATTTTTTAGTGGCTCTAGCATATTGTGTCGAGACATTCCATAATGTATTTATCCATTCCCACACTGACATACAAGTTTGTTATCATTCTTTTAATTATGAAGAAACAAACCAATCTTTTGAAAAACTCATTTACACAGGGTAGCATTTTGAATTTTGGGTCATTTTCTTAAAAATGGGGCTACTGGGTTAGGAGGTATGCACCTACATTACTGGTTTGAATACCCCCAAAATGTCTTCCTCATGGTGCTACCAACTTATAGTCCTATCGAAAATGTATGAGTACCTTCATATCCTTACCCCTTTTTAAAGACTAGATGGTATCTTTCATTTTTGCTAACCTGAAAGATGAAAAAAGAATTTATTTGCACTTCCCTAATAAGGTTAACTATCTTTTTATATGTTGTATTTTCCCCCTTTACTTGACCACTCCTACCAATTATCTGTTTTTTTCAACAGGGTTTTGCCCCTTATTTGTGAGAGCACAGAATATATTTTGGATGTTAAGACCCTGTCTGTTTCTAGTACTGAAAATTCTCTTTTCCCAGGATGTCCTTGTCTTTTGGCTGTTTCAGGCAGATTCTTAAATGGCCTTGTCCTGCACAACCCCATGTCATGAGACTACACAAACTGGGCACTTGAATGGCACAAGCTATCTGAATCAATTCTAATCCTACGAAAAGATATACTGATACTCTATATCTGTGAAATTCTGTCCTTCCCTTTTTGGTTTCAGTCATGGTGATGAAGGAAGGAGCTAACATCAATTGAAAAGAATGTGAGGGACAGAGTTAGTATTTCATAGATTTGGATTTAGAGCTAGTATTGTCTCCCCATTCCCACTGATTATAAAATTTGTATCAAACACTCAGAATCTAGAAATAATACATACATTATTACATTCACAAAAAAATATAAACCTAGTTTAGAGTCCACATGGGGTGAGTTTCCATTCTGAAACTCGGGATTCACAACTTTATCATCATTAGCTACATGTGATTCCAGTAGTATGTCCTATAATTTTATAAATTGCAAATTAAAAAAGAAAATTTCAGAATCAAGAACACTGGGAAATACCAAGTATCTCCTCACCTGTTTCTTTAAATTTTCAACCATCTTCTGAACTGCAGCTTTTTCCTGTTTTACAGTTTCTATTTTTTGCCTAAAGGGACAGTGAAAATATAAGAGTTAGGCTTTAAAAGTTGAAGTCAAAACAGTCTTAGTCCTTGCAAAAATGCCCTAAGAAAATTTATATGTCTTACCACATTTCTTCCTGAGATCCATTTAATTTCCCTAATTTCAGGTTAGAAATGCTATCTTCTTCATTTAAAGTAGTAATTTCACTTCTCAAAATAGAATTTTCTTCTTGAAGCTTCTCAGATTCACATCTGAATCACAGAGATTTAAAAATATCATTATAACAAGGCAGTCATGTGGCATCTTTGGAAAATGCTTTCTAGGAACTTCCAATAAAACAAGTATTCCATGCCAGTTAAAATGAGATGTCTAAATTAGTAGACTTTTAGTACTGGAAATCAAGCTCTGACATATTGACCCCTTTCTTTTGGGGAGATAAGAATTTCACTAAAAGACATTAGGGAAGTGTGGCTGAAACACTGGAGCGCAGAGACAGGAACCGAGACTACGCCCGCTATGTTTGCTGGTTTTCTCAGTGGCAACCATACTGCTTTGGGCAAAAAAACTTGCATTTATCTCGGGCTCAGGTCCTACCTGCTCTATATAGGCATGAGCCATATTGCTAAGCTGTATTAGCTTTAGTTACAGACCTCAGGGCACCTAGAAAAAGGAAATTCACTACATAAATAAAAGAAATATGTACACTCATGTTCACTTTGTGATGTTTTTCAACTCATTATGTTCTGATTTTTAGAACTAAAAATGGTCTGAAGAAGGGGAAAAACTACATCTGGAATTCAATTATTTTGTTTCAGATCATTCAGATAACGTGATGTGATATTTTCCAAGTCTTTGAAAACCAAACTTGCTGGAAGACTATTGCAATCGTGTTATATAAAGTCAAGTGAGCAGTGTTTCGCATGAGTTTCATTTCTGTCTTAAGTACAAGCACATTTATTAGAATCTGATAGTTCTTCAACCAAATGATATGTTCTAAGATAAATTTCCATTGTTTACACGATATCAGCATGTACTTCAAGTGATAGGAGTGAAGAACTGTAAGTCACAAAGCACAGAATTTTTCCTATATTAGTATAAGAGTTCTCATCTACCAAGTGAGTTAATCATAAACAAAAGGCATTCTCACAGAACGTGTTCCATCAAATGCGGGAAACAATTAACATTTAGCAAAACCAAAACTACCAATCCAAATGAAATGCTAGAAAACAGTTAAAGACTTGACACACACTGAGGATGCACATGGTTAAACAGCAAACACGCTCCGTTAGGACACCCTGAACAAATGACATTTATTTCCTGTAGAGGGGGAGGGGATGCCTCCTAGGCAGGGTTATTCTATCTGTTAATACGACACAGAAGCAGAAGGAAGCCTACAGTACTGCTCTCTTCCTGAGGACTAACAGGTTAGTTTCTCTAGGCACAGCAAGCGGCGGAAGTTAGATTTGGTGAGATGCTCTTGGGATTCCATGAAGTTCAGAAGGTATATACGTTACCTCAGAAGTTCAACTTTCTGTTGCATCTCACTGCACGTGATTTGCAAGTCATGCATCATCGCCTTTAGTTCTTCCTCGTTTTCTCCTTGAGAAGGTCCATCTTTCTGCTTAACTAAAGTAGTGACTCTCTCCCTCAGCTTTCTAGTCAGCTCCTGCAGCTTCTTCTTCTCCAGTTCCAACTCCGCTATGGTGGCCTGACGCTGAAGATGTCCGTCTTGAAGGCCCGGCAGAGCGGTGTCTTCCTCCAGCAGAACTTGGTTCTGTACTCTGGGCTTCTCTCGACGTGTCCGGATTGTTCTGTGAAGCCAGGCAATTTCACTCGCTTTTACTTCTCCCACGAGCTGTGCATTCTGCTGCTCGAGGTACTGGTTTTCTTGATAATGTTCTTCTAGAATATGATGGACACTTGTCACCGTGGGCACACGCTCTTCCCATGTCTGATGTCGTCCGAGCACCTTCTCGTCAGGTTGGACTTCCCGGTTATCTAAATGGGCTTCCCATAAGGAGAAGCAGTCACAGCGCAGCACCGCTCTTTCCTGGAGCCTCTCGATCTTGCCTTGAAGCCTCAAAACCAGAACATGCAGTTCCTCGTTTTCTCTCTTGACCTCATCGTAACTCTTTTCCAGGCTAAGGAAGGTTTCAGTCACCTCTTCAACTTTCTTTAGCTCATCCTGCAATTTGAAAACTTCCGAAGTGAGGTCTTTGTTATTTTCTAGGGCTTCGTCATAGCGCATCTCCATCACTCTCAGCTCTTCCTGAAGACAGTCATTTTCTCTGCTGGCATCTTCATATAACAATTTATACTTGGGGGAAGCCTCGGGGATTCTCTCAAGCATCTTCAGTTTCTTTTTTAGCACAGAAACGTCAAAAAGTAGGTCCTGTTTCTTTTCAGAAGCTCGACTGCAGTCTGCACGCAAGATCATTAGCTGTTCCTGAAGCTGACAAATCTGATTCTTCAGGTCCCAGGTCTCGGTCCTGGTCTCTTCACTATTCTCGAGCTCGGAAAAACTCTCTATTGATGCCTCAGACTCCTCTGTCTTGACCTCCCGTCTCTGAGCTGAGCTCGTCCCTGTACTTCCCAGATCCCGGGCCTCATCGTCTTGTAGGTCACTTAGGGCGCACCGTGTGGCTACAGCTTCTACTTGCTTCGTTTGATTTTGCAGTAAAAATGGCTCTGTCCGTTCCACAGAATTTCCAAAGAATCCAGTAGTTGGCTCGTCTAAACAAGAAGACGTCACCGACCCTGGCTCTAATTTCTGTAGCTTCTGTTGCAATCTCGAAATTTCAGTGGCCATTTTCACATTTTCCTTCACTGCTCGCTCATGAGCTCTCTGCAGGCTCAAGAGAACATCTCCATTCTCTTCCAACAACTGCTTTCCTTGCTGGAGCAGGGACATGGCTCCACTTCCTTCTGCGTCCTCGCCTCCTGCTGCCCGGCAGCCACTCTCTCTCCTGGAGAAAGGAGATGCCACCTGCTGCATTTGCTTGATTTTATTCTGCAGCCTGGAGATTTCTGTGCTCATCTGGGCCCTCTCCTGATCTGCCTTCTCACAGGTCACCCTGTGGACACTCTCCATGGCCTGAAGCTTGGCCATCATTTCCTGCCTCTCCCGGTCACGTTCCATTTCCAGCTTCTCAAGCTGCTGGCTGGCCTGCTGCTCTGAGGCGCCCGCCTGGCACGGGACCTGCTCCCCGTCCTTCGGACCTCTGTCACGACCGCTCTTCAGCTCAAGTATCTGGTCGGACAGCAGGCTCTGTTGACTTTCAGACACGTTTCTTAGATCTTCCAGGTCTCTGAGCAGCTGCTCTCTTTCAACGACCATACTACTCAAATGTTCCTTGTACGTTTTCTCCAGCATCTCTCTCTCCTGGGTCAGGACCAGAGACGTTGCTTTCTCTCTTTGCAGAGTCTCTTTGAGCTGCTCCTGGGCTTCGGCACACTCCTGGGCGAGCTCGTCCTTCTCAAACTCCCACTGGGATCTCTCCTCCAGCTGCTGTTCCACGAGCTCCTGCAGCTCTTGGCGGTAGCGCCCCTCCAGGCTCCGCAGAGCGCTTTCACACCTCTCGGTGACCTTCTGACAATCAGCCTGAGACTGGGCTTCTATCTGAGAGGTTCTTCTATTACACTCAGTTTCCATTTTTTCCCTAAATGTAGTCAACATACAGCATTACTGAAACTGCCACCGCCTCCAGAAGCAAACAAAAAACATTTTCCCGCGCACGGGAGAAGCCGCCAAGCAGACAATTTATATCCTTTCTATAAAAACGGTCTTCACGTATTCCTGTGTAATCGATTTATACAGAGACGGGGTCTCATTCCTGAGGGCTGAGACTGGCAGCCACAATTAACTTAAAAGACTTACCTCACTGTGTTTAGAGAAAATCTAGAAACTGCCTTCTTTGGCATCCTCCTGGATGTATATGTTTATGGATTTTTAACCAAAAACGTACACTGATATTTCACATTCACGACCAAATGCACATTAACCTAACCCCTAACTCGGAAAATGTAAATAATTCCTTCATTTTAATTAGGTATACATTGGAGGGTAGTAGTCACATAAACCACACATATTAATATATTCATTGCTTTTCCTTATTTAATAAAGCAGCAGTAAGGTAATCAGAGTATAAGGGATCAAAGCCCTCAAATATACCTGAGATTTCATGTGGGGAAAGTTAAGCACAAAGCTGCACTTCATAATTTGGAGAACTCTACCCAGAATTTAGCTCATAAATAGCCTTTCTCAGAACACAGTAATTACTCTCATCTGGAACCTGAAAGGATAATTGAAACAAGAAATACTGTCTGTGGGGGCACCTGGGTGGCTCAGTGGGTTAAGCGTCTGACTTCGGCTCAGGTCTTCATCTCACAGTTTGTGAGTTTGAGCCCTGTGTCAGGCTCTGTGCTGACCGCTCGGAGCCTGGAGCCTGCTTCGGATTCTGTGTTTCTCTCTCTCTCTCTCTGCCCCTCCCTGTTTACACTCTCTCAAAAATAAACAAACATTAAGAAATACTGTCTTTAAAAAAAAACAAAAAACAAAACCACCGTTTGAATAATCTCAGGGTAGGCTCATGTCCAAACACTGGCAAAACAGGTTGAGAAACTAAAGCATCTAGTCAAAGTCTCCTTAACTGCCTGGAACTTCTGGTGCCCCCAAGGGACAGTATTCTGGTTTCTCCACTTCCCCTATTTTCTTACCTTCCCTCTTGAAGTTCCCTTTGGTGCTTTTCCAAGAGCTCTTTTTGCAACTCCTCCTTCTCAAGAGTGTGCTTCTCCATCAGGCTTTTCAGCTGTTCCTGGTGAAGCTGCTCGAGTTCCTGAGTCAAGCCTCTCACCTTCTCTTCTGTCCAGGCGCCATTCCGAAGGAGTCCTTCCCTCTCCCGGGTAAAGCTGTCCTCTGCCTGCTCCAGGCGAGCCTTGAGTTCCATCTCGTGTTCCAGCCTCAGCTTCTCCCGCAGGTGAGCCTTTTCCTCATCCCACCTCGTTTGCAGTTCTTTTTTCTCCTCCTCGTGTCTGCAGAGAGTTGTATGTTGTGCTTCCTTGAGCACCACTGCCTGGCCCCGAAGTTCTGCAGTTTCGTTTTTAAGGTCACTTAGTTGTTTTTCCAAGACGCGGACCTCATTCTCGTACTTTTGCTTCATGCTGTCTTGCTCCTTTTCACAGGCGACCTTGGTTTCATCTAGCTGCTTTTCATAATGGTGCACCTGAAGTCACAAAGCGAAACCACCACAATGTTATCCAACTCAAGGCGGTGGGAAGGTGATGGGGGCGGTAACTACTTTTTTCCCAAGTGACATTCCTCAGCTTTCCCATTTTGACAGCTCGAAAACATGTTAAATAAGCTATGTTTGAGGCAGGCATAGTTTGTTTTCCTTTTTAACTTGGTTGAATTTTATTAGTTTCTGAACAACTCTGATAAAAATGACTAGACTTTCACATAGATAGTGTTGGTCTTCCCAGGCATCCTGTCCAACTGTAAAGGTAGGGGTTTAACATACTTAAATTCAAATATTGATTGAACACCTATCATAGGCACTCGGTGGGCTTTGTGGGGACACAAAGTTGCATATGATATAGTCCTGCCATCAAGGAGAAACAGCTCTAGACATGGTTTTGACAAGCACAAACAAGTACGCTACAAGGCAGAATGAAAAATATAAGAGCTATAGAAAACAGACAAATATATTGGTCAAGGGTATTCAGGAATGGGTTCATGCAGGAGGTAGCATTTGATCTAAACTCTGAAGGGTGAGTAGACTTTCAAGAGGTAGAAAGGAATAACACAGCATGTGATGGCATGAACGAAAGAGGACAGCTTGATGAAGCACGGTGAACTACTGGCTTGGCTGGAGGAGAAGGTAACAAAGACCAGGAATCTAAGCTGAAGCACTGTGGTGAAGGGTTTTGGAGTCCAAGATTCAGAAGTTGTACCTAATGCTGTATCAAAGGGCTTTCTTCGGTCTTATTAACATGTTTCTCAACAAGTTAGAAATAATGCATTGGCCTTCAAGTTCCATGCTTGCTAGGGCTGAAGATAATACATTTTGGAGAAACTGTCTCCTAGGAGGAAAAGGCCTCATGCTCAGCCTACAAAACCATCCTGAGCAAAGGGGGGTTTGGTAGCCACCAGACAAGAGGAAATGTATAAAAAGTGATGCTCTATGGGGCGCTTGGGTGGCTCAGTCAGTTAAGCGTCCTTCAGCTCAGGTCATGATCTCACGGTTCGTGAGTTTGACCCTCGCATCGAGCTCTGTGCTGACAGCTCAGAGCCTGGAGCCTGATTCACATTCCTGTGTGTGTGTGTGTCTCTCTCTGCCCCTGCCCCGCTTGTGCTCTCTCTCTCAAAAATAAACATTAAAAAAAAATTTTTTTTTTAAAAGGGATGCTCCATGAAGTAAAAAGAATTAAGTATGTCCTACAAGCCAAAGCTTGCCAGAGCTGAAAAAATGAGAGAACAGAATAAGAAGGACTTACTTTATCTTCAAGCTCCAGTCTTAAGCGACATAAGTCCCTGTGATGTTGTTCTTTCATCTGCTCAATGACCAGCTCTGCCTCGATGCTCATAGTCAATGGATTGCATTCTTCAGAACCAAGCCCTGAAAACACATGGGATCTGGTGACCCTCCAGCAGGCTCTTTCAATAACACAACTGGCTTCTGAGGAAGGAACGTCCAGTTAAAGGAATAAATCTCAGCCTCAATTACCACTGATGAGATCTACTAGGAAACCATCGATGCCAAGAGGTTTCTTGCTTTCAAGCATTATGGAAAACAAGAAAAAAATGAAGGTGAACAGGCAATACAGTAAGATTCTTTCATGTACAGACTACCAAACCTTCACAGAATTCATCTTTTTGAAGAGTAGGTGGGGTTAGGTATGGAAACAGTGGTTTAAATGTGACCTTCTAAAATGAAAAATGCTGGGAAGTGAGGTAGTTTGATTAAACCAATCAGCTTTCTATCCATCCAACAAATACTATGGTGACAAACGAGCAGAGGGGCAAAGTGGCAGAAGATGCCTGGAGGCGTTAACTTCATGGGTCAAGACAGCGAACCCACCCCTCAATGACAGAAGATTGAGTATTACAATATTAATTTCCTATAGTGCAAGTGGAGCCCCATTTTAAATTATCAGCTAAAATTTTAAAAATAGGGCATAGGTTAGGAACCTGGATATAGGCAGTTTGGGAGAAAAATTCTCAAGTCATTGATATGAGTTCACTTCTGCAACCATCCCTGATGATGACGGGGAAGGACGCTGAAATGTGAAGCATAAATTGGAGACTGAGCTTGTACACAGACAAAACGATCATGTCTAATACTATGTGAGAATCTCTTAAGGCAGGGGATTCAAAAAAGTTTCTCACATGGGGTCCATAGGCAGACAGGAGAAAGGGCATGGCTAGCATCCAAGATGAAGTCTTGCCTTGGGCTTTCTTTCCGTATATTCTTTCTTTTCCAGTTGGCATATCCCCAACTGAGAAGTGATAGTTGGGATATGGACCACCCCAGCACGGCACAGCTTCGCATGCCCATGAGGAGAACCCCCAAAACTATGGAAAAAGTCCAGAGAAGCTTCTGAGATGCATCATACACCACCAGTTGGGTTCCATCCTCACACTACAGTAAGGCTACTGACCACATACTTAGAATCACAGGAAAGGTCTTAAGCCCTCTCCCCATCCCCTCCCAAATCCCTTATTTATTCTAGAATAAACAGGTAAGGAGAGGAATAAACAATCCTTGTAAGAACCTGTACTTGCATAGCAGTGGGGAAGACCGTAACAGAAAAATTTATTATGAGCCCTTTGTGAAATTCAAACTCCACACACTGAGGAAAGAGGCAGAATGCCAGGAGGGAGGAAAAAAGCTGATGAAAAAGTAGCAGCATTCCCAAACAACTCTGCCTTCCAACTTTCCCACTCAAAGTCCTCCTCAAAGGCACAGGCAACCAACACTTATTTAACTTCTTAGTTGTTTTACAGAGGCAATGCCGATGTTTAACACAGCCAGTGTAAGAAAACCAAATTCTGGTTTCTGGTTGGCCTGTTCTCCAAAATGATCATCATACCAGTGAGGCACTCCTTAAGAAAGGGAGCACTCAGCAATAGCTCAGTGTCTGAATTGTAACACTCCCAAGCCCTGGATTCTCAGACCTGTGGCCAATTTCTTTTGTTTGTTTTTTTAAACAAAGCAAATATCCTTGGGGTTTGATTTTTCCATTCCTTTGTTGATACATATAAAAATCAGAAAGAAATATTCTCATAAAGACTTTAAGGATAAATGAAGAAAACAGACCATAAGCGAAATAGCTCAAGAAAATAGTACTGCCCAGGTTGTTTTTTAAATTTTGTTGGTTGCCAAAGTTGTGCAATTTTATATTCAACCATGGCCATAAAAGCAAAAACCAAAGGCAGAGCCTCTGAAAAGATGATGTCTGAATGGCTTACCCTGGTCAGGCTCAATGCAACCACTGTTAACCTCAAGTTCTTCTGACACTGAGTTCTTTAAGGGAAGTCTCAACACTTTGCCTTGTGTGCGAAATTCCTCCAGCTCAGACTGGAGTTCATCCACTTGGTCTTGTAATACCTGGAGTTTAGAAACAAACACAAGTCTTTTTTTCCTTTCTTAGTTCGTTTACTTTAAATGTTTATTTTTCAGAGAGAGGGAGTGGGAGAGGGGCAGAGAGGGAGACAGATGATCCGAAGCAGGCTCTGTGCTAACAGCAGAGAGCCTGATGTGGGGCTCAATCCCATAAACCATGAGATCATCACCTGAGCCGAAATCAAGAGTTGGACCCTTAACCAACTGAGCCACCCAGGCACTCCATAAAAACCAAAAACCACTACAAGTCTTATACATGACAGCAAAAGCACAAGCAACAAAAGAAAAAAGATAAACTGGACATCACTAAACCAAAACCTTTTTATTTTGAAGGGTATCATGAAAGTAAGAAGACAACCCACAGAATAGGACGATAGCTTTTGCAAATTACATGGTCTGATAAGGGACTTCTAACTAGAGTATACAAGGAACTATTACAACTCAATAATAAAAAGACAATCCATTTAAAAATTAGGCAAAGGATCTGAATAGACCTTCCTGGAAAAGGAGATATGCAGGGGCACCTGGGTGGCTCAGTCAGCTGGTTAAGCATCCAACTCTTGACTTCGGTTCAGGTCATGATCTTGTGGTTCATGAGTTCAGGCCCTGCATCAGGCTCTGCGCTGACAACACAAAGCCTGCTTGGGATTCTCTCTCTCCCTCTCTCTCTGCCCCTACCCCATTCATGCTCTCTCTCTCAAAATAAATAAGCTTAAAAAAAAAAAGGAGATATATTCTGAGAAGCCCTTGAAGAGATACTCAAAATCATTAGTCATCAGGGAAATGCAAATAAAAAACACAGTGAGGTACCACTTCATAACCCCTAGGAATGGGTCGACTCCAGAAGACAGCAAAAACAACTGTTGTCAATGATGTACAGAAATTTGAACTCTCGTACTGGTAGGAAGTAAAATGGAGCAAACCCCTTGGGAAAAGTTTGGCAGTTCCTCCAAAAGTTAAACATGCAGTGATCATATGACCCAGCAGTTCCACCCCCAGACATATACCAAAGAGAAATGAAAACATATCCACATAAAAACTTGTGCACAGATGTTCACAGCAGCATTATTCATAACAGTCAGACTAACCCCAATGTTCATCAACTAATGAATGGATAAATAAAATGTGGTATGGCCATAAAATGGAATATAATGTAGCAGTGAAAAGAAAGGAAGTCAGCGGTGCCTGGGTAGCTCAGTTGGTGAAGCATCAGATTTGTGATTTTGGCTCAGGTCATGATCTTGCAATTCATGAGTTCAAGCCCTGCATCGGGCTCTGCACACACAGTGCAGAGCCTGCTTGGGATTCTGTCTCCCTCTCTCTGCCCCTCCCCTGCTTGCTTTCTATCTCTCTGTCAAAATAAGTAAAACTAAAAGACTGAAGAAAGAAAGAAAGAAAGAAGGAACGAAGGAAAGAAAGAAAGAAAGAAAAAGAAAGAGAAGAAAGGAAAGAAAAAGAAAGAAAGAAAGAAAGAAAGAAAGAAAGAAAGAAAGAAAAGAAAGAAAGAAAGAAACCACTGATACTCACTACAACATGGATGAACCTTGAAAACACTACAGGAAGTGAAGGAGGTCAGCCACAAAGGACCACATAGTGTAGGATTCCACTTATATGAAGTGTAAAGGATAGGCAAGTCTCCAGAGACAAAAAAGGTGGATTATTAGTTGCCTAGGGGGAGATTACAGCTAAGTGGAGTGGGAGTTTCTTTCTGGGGTGATGAAAACGTTCTAAGATCAACTATGGTAGTGATTGTACAATTCTGTGAATATACTAAAAGACACTGAATTGTACACTCTAAATGGTGAACTATGTGGGTGAATGGTGTATAATCTGTTTAAGAATATAATGGAATGGATTTGGGGAGGTAGAGATGACAGATTTTACTAATGAAATCCTAACTTTTAAGAACTATAAGGAAAACACCTCTACTTGATTAGAGCCGAGAGCCAAAACTTAATTGTAGAAGTGGCATTAATGTTTCATCTCTTTTCTCAAAATGTGCACATATATTTCCTGGGAAGGCAGGCTGTGGGCAACCTCATAAGAAAGTGATTGTTTTCCTCACTTCTGCACAAATACAATTTACGTCTAAAGTAGTCAGAACTCAGTTATACCTACCTTGTTAAAATCAACAAGTTTTTGTGATTCAAGAAGGGAAAAAGATCCCAAATTCCTAAGTTTAGGAGAGTTAAAAAAAAAAAATCAAAGATGCCCATTATTTATAAAAATGTTTTTGTCTCTTCTGGTATGAATTTGTAATTATTAGTAGCTAACGCCCTGAGTGGTTTCTGCCTCATCTGCATTTTGTAAATAAAATAAGGTATCCAGGGAAAACACACACACACACACACACACACACACACACACA